TCAAAATATAAAAAAAATTGAGGGGGGGAACTAAAATTTTCCAAACCCCATGGGACCGGTCCTAAGACCGGTCCTGGGCCCATGGGACCAGTCCCGGCCAGGCCTAAGGCCTGGTCCGGGTCCTGATTTTTCTCATGGGCCTGGGACCGATCCCAGGCCCATGAGAGACTGGTCCCATTTGGGATCAGTCCTAAACGGGCCTAGGCCTGGGCCCACAAGGGACCGGTCCCTTGCCCAGGTATAATCAATGGTGATAAATCAATGTCTCAAGTTAAATAAAAAATTTAAGTTATTATGGCTTGACCTTACTTAACAAGATATTATTAAATATCATATTGTGATTTTCTATGATAACCAGTATGATGTAGAGGACTTTTCTACGTAAACAGAGTAGAAAAACAGAGGACTTCTCTGTAACTTCCCGGAAAGACTTTGTGTGTGAACAGATTTTTTTTCTCCTCTAAAGACTTTAAATCAAGAAGAGATCTATTCAATAATTAAATCATCTTTCTACAAAAGGAACCTTCGAAGAAATGGGATGACCTCCTCAAGTAGTTGGCAATTAATATAGAGACAAATAGACATAATTTTCATTAAATTATGTACAGATGGGTTTATTGTCAAAGGCCCGTCCAATTAATATGGGCCGGGTCAAAGGCCCATCCTATTATCTGTGCAGATGGGTTTATTGTCATTACATAAAATTGGTGCAGGATAAGACAACTTTCATTTACCGGTGGCGACTGCTTGACATTATGGAAAATTCAGATAAGATGAGAAAAACAGGCACATGGGATGGGTGTATGTCTATTTTGTAGAGTTGTCTGTATCATAACGTGTTTCTTCAAATGGACAAATGCATGGTCCCAACCCTCACCATTATATTTATAGGTTGGAAAAAAAAAAAAAAAAAAAAAACTGATGTTAAGGCTAACCTAACATTTTTTTTTTTTTTTAAATATTAGAGGTAATCACTTAATCCTTAAGTATGATAAAATAATAAAAAAGGGGTTAAACAAATATAGTCAACTCAATAATTACAATTTCTCAAAATGTATAAGTAGGTTAAATGACAAATTTAACTGTAAAATTCAATGATTTTTTAATCATGTCTTTAATGAAACAACAAATGATATATTTATAATATATATAATGTTAAACTCTGTTAAACAATACAAGACTCGATAATCTAACATTTAACATTATGGTTTGATAGTCTAATTAAAACATACTAGATAATGTTATTTTTATAAGGATAATTATGTTAAGTCATGTGATTTTACGGAAAAATTTGTTCTTTAAACAAAAATCCTTGTCATTAAGCATTAAAATAAACTATAATAGAATAATTTGGTAATTTAACTAATTCATAACAATGTAATTTTAATGACTCATTGTCATACCTCAACGTCAAGATTACAATTTTCTCCCTTTTATAAAAGGAAAACCAATAAACCACAAAGACTCGGCTCAACAAAGAAAAAAAAAAAAAAAAAAAGAAATTAGCAGTCTATAAAAGACGTGGGATAGTCTTGGTCTTGAATTATCAAATAAAAAAAAAAAAGCATGAAAGTAGTTGATGTATGAACCACTGTGATGTGTAATTCAAAGTCTGAGAGAGAAAATAGTTGATGTGTAATTTCCTTGAAACTTCTTGGAAGTTTGATGGTATTTACTCTACTCTTTCCTGTATACTTTGTTAAATGACATGGGTCCGACACCTTCTTTCTTGTTGCTAGCGTGTGAAAAAGTAAGAATCACAATGGAAAAGCATTAATAATTGTAATGAAATTTTGCAGAAAAAATCTTATTGTGTGAACGTGTTTGTCAAAGTCAAGAAAGAAAAAATGCAACTTCTGATAAAGTAGAAATTAATAATTGTAATTGAAGAAAATTTTGTAAACGGTTCACTTTATAACAAGACAAATCCTCTGGCTTCTTAGTTCTCTTATCAAAAATTTTGACACAAGCATTTCTTTCTTTCAAACAATTACCCAATTGAAACTGATCACTCAGATAAAAACTTTCTCAATACAGCTGCAGTAACACCCTCTATAGCGTTGTAAGTTTAATTTCTGAACAATCTTTGATATCTTAAATTTTAAACTTTTGTGTAGCTTGCTCAAGAGTGGAACTTTAAATATTTATTTTAAACAAGCTAGCTGATCATGTATGTTTAGATTTACAAGATATAAATTAGTGGCTTCTTTTTTAATTTTTATTCTTTTCTGGAAATTGAAAATACATATTTTCGGTGATGTCTGAGTGTTGACGGTGACTTAAAATGACGGGTTGGACTTAGAATTGGCGAGTTTGGAGTTTTGGGTTAGTGAAAATTATTGTGCAATCACAGAGTTTTTTGGGCGACCCAGGAGGCTTTGAAGTGATTTCGACTCACGGGTTGGATTGTTAAGTTGAGATATTTGACTTTGTTCATCGTTAACACTATTTAAGAGAGGGATAACGTTTGCAACTGTTTTCGCTTCTAGAGGTAGTTGTCTTCTTTTGTTCTTTTTGTACTTTAAGTTTACATCATGGATAAAAATGTGATTTTTTTTGTTGTTGTTTTGTTTTACAATTGGGTTAATGCCAAGAAAATCTATTGTTGTTTCGTTTTTTTTTTTTTCTTTTTATTCTTTTTTGGAAATTTAAAATACATATAGATGGTTTGTAAGAAGTTTATTACCTTTCCAATAAATTTTTTAGGTTCTAACAGAGGTCGAAATTGCTTACATATACAATATCAACAAACTTGTAAACTCATCATGCAAATGGCCTTTTCATCAACATCTTCTTCTTGTCGTTCGAAATATGATGTCTTTCTAAGCTTTAGAGGTGAAGACACAAAGAAGAGCTTCATAGATCATCTGTATACTGCTTTCAATTAGAAAGGATTGTGTGTTTTTAGGGATGACAAAGAACTTGAGAGAGGAAAACTCATTTCACTAGAGCTTCTTCGTGCAATTGAAGAATCAAGATCTGCGGTTGTTGTTTTCTCAAGAAATTATGCTTCTTCCACATGGTGTTTAGATGAACTTGTTCAAATTGTTCAGTGCAAGAATATAAAATTCTTTCCAGTTTTCTATAACGTGGATCCTTCAGTGGTTAGAAAACAAACAGGAGAATTTCAAGAAGCCTTTGTCAAACATGAAAAAACTTTTAGAGAGGATATTGGCAAGGTGCGAACTTGGAGAAATGCTTTGACAAGGGTGGCCAATCACATAGGATTTGACTTAAAGGATGGGTATGTGACAATTATTTCTTCTTTTTTATAGTGGAAAGCTTAGTTATCAAAATGATAAGCATGACTTGATGAATTATGAAAACGATATTCATGACTTGATTGTTTAAATGCGCCAGTCATGAGTGTTGATACTATAATTAAGCATCGAATTTTTTATTCAAACCAAGTTTTATCTTTATCAAAAGTTTAAAAGTATTGGTACAATGAAATATTTAATTAACAAATTCTTATGTTATATAGATAGTATTCAATAATAATTAATTAATGTAAAAGATAATTAATAAAATAAGCTTTTTCATATTTCGCCAAGTAATGATAGAAAATGATGTAGGACAGTAATTAATACCTTGGACAAGCATGAATAATTTTATGCAATTTTCCTTATTATTGTAACTAAGATATATAGTATATAATATGAAAAGTATAAAGATAATATAACTATAATAGTGACTGAATGCTAAAAGTAAACCTAAAGAAAAAGGAAAAATGAAATTTTCATGTGTATAAACTTATAGGTGTACGTAGATAGTTTCTATGATACGTACTATTTATTCATAAGTATATTCATCTAGCTAGTGTTATAAGTTGTAACCACAATTTTTTCTTGATCTTTTCCACTCTTCAGGTATGAGTCACAATTTATTCAAAAAATTATGAAGGAAATATCAAGCAAATTATGTTTTCCAAAATACACAAGCGTCGAGCACCTAGTAGGCATAGATTCACGATTGGAGAAACTAAAGAAATTTATAAGTCTTGAGTTACATGATGTTCGTATGATTGAGATTTGTGGAATGGGAGGAATAGGCAAGACAACAATTGCTAGAGTTGCCTATGACTTGTTTTCTGATGAATTTGAAGGTAGTAGTTTTTTGGCTAATGTTACAGAAAATTCCAAAAAAGATCTAGTTTATGTACAAAAGATGCTTCTTTCCAACATTCTAGCTATGAGAATAGATGACATCAACATATACAATGACTTTGATGGAATAAGGATGATAAGAAGGAGGTTGTCGTGTAAGAAGGTTCTTATTGTTATAGATGATGTGAACAATCCAGAGCAATTAGAAAAATTAGTTAGCAAGCATGATTGGTTCGGCATGGGCAGTAGGATCATTATAACATCAAGAACCAAAAGTTTGTTGACATCCCATGGAGTAGATGGAGTGTATAAGGCTGAGAAATTAAATCATGATGAAGCCCTCCAATTATTCATTTCAAAAGCCTTTAAGAAACATCAACCTTTAGAAAATTTTAGGGAGCTATCCAAATGTGTTGTACAGTATGCTAGTGGTCTTCCATTAGCTCTTAAAGTTTTGGGCTCCTTTTTGTGTGGAAGAGAAGTTCATATATGGAAAGATGCATTGCAAAGACTAAAAAGAGATTGTAAGAAAGAAATATGGACGTACTTTAAATAAGCTTTGATGGGTTAGAAGAGTCAGAGAAAAAAATATTTCTTGATATAGCATGTTTCTTTAAAGGAGAGAATAGAGATTATGTGACAAAAATTCTTGAAAGTTGTGATTTTTTTCCAAATGTTGGAATAGATATTCTAATCGATAAATCTCTCATAATTATTTTAGATGGCTATAGATTGTGGATGCATGATTTGTTACAACAAATGGGTCAACAAATTGTCTTGTTATGTGTGTGAGAACAATTCATTCATTGTAAACGAGAGAGGTGAGGCATATTGCAAATAATATTGACTCAGCTGGACGTAGCCTACATTGGGTGAACCAGGGTAAATCGCGCGTATTACATTCTTTGTTTACTGTTTGTTTTGTTTAACTATTATTATTTTGTTCCTGTTGCTTCTCTATTTCGTTCACATCTAAGATAGGATATATTAAGGTAGATGGTTGTGTAGCAGTGGAAACAACATCAAATGCATTAAGGTTATGCAATTCCACGTTGTCAATACTTTCATGTGTAAACTGCTTGAAATTGATATGTTGCAACAATCCGGCATCTTCAATGCCAAGAGAATTCCTTAAGGTCAGTGTGTTTCTCTTTCTCTCTCTTCATCTTTTGAGTTAAACATCATTGTATAACTTTTCTTTCTTTTTCTGAGTGCAGGCAATGTCAATGCCAACAGTAAGACGTTGGAGGCCTCCTTGTTCGATTAGTGAATTTGAGATGGTTATTCCTGGAAGTGAAATTCCAGAGTGGTTCCAACATCAGGGTGAGACTTCTTCAATTAAAATAGAAAAGCCTCTAGATTCTTGTGATAACAAGATGGTGGGATATGCTGTCTGCTGTGTTTTTGAGGTCTATGAGCATCAACCTACCCTTAGTGAAGGTTCTTACATGAGCACACATGGGATTTACTGCACAGTGACCAATATCCTTCGAGGTGGAGAACGTAGGATTTGTTTTGAAGAGAATTCGGGCAAGGCTGTGTCAGACCATCTTTGGCTGTTCTATTTTTCGGCTAAAGAAGTCTATCAAGATTTTGTTGAGCTTTCATTTGCAGCAGGTGGTCCAGGATCAAAGGTGAAGAAGCGTGGGATACATCCAATAGATGAGAAAGAATTAAAAGAGTTGAAGCCAAGGGCTAAGAAATCCAGTAGCTCTAGTTTTTGGAATTCATATGAGTTGGATGAAGATTTTCTCGAAGATGAGATATATTTTTCAGCTGATGATGAACTATCGTAATAATTTTTTCTTATGGGTTGTTGTGAGCTTTCTGTTTTTCACATTGGGCTTTGCTATAACATAAGCTATAATGTATACTGGATTATTTGCCATGGAGAGACGTGGGAGTCCTTATTCCAAGCGGGGACAAATTTTTTTTTTTTTCTCTTTTTATACAATTGAACAAATTAATAATTAAAATTTATGGATATTATTTTCTTAATAATTTCTGGATTTAAAAATAATATTATTAAATATTTTCAATTGATTTTTGTATATTTAATTTAATTTTATATTTCAAATTATAATATTATATAGAATGATTAAAAAAAAATTCATGGTAGGAAAATAATTATTTATTGGGTCAGGATATTGTAACTTAAATTTTTTACTTAATTTTTCGACACACCTTATAAATCGTCTATCATTATTGATATATCTTGTTAAGTTTATAAAAGATGGATGATTCACAAAGAGTGTCAAAAAATTAAATTGAAATCTTAAGTCACAATATCCTAACCTTTACTGTTTATTTAAAGTATAAAATCATAATTATAATTAGTTTTTTTAATTAATATATCTTCCATTCAAGTATCTTATAATTAATTACTATATAAATATCATAATTATTGATATAAATAATGTAAATATTAAAAAAAATTAAGATGAAGAAAATGATAAAGAGTATTCTATAATTTAAAAATGAATGTTAAACTAGTTTTTTAATATAAATATTTTTATTAAATAAATAAGAATGAATGTTAGTGTATCAGTATACAAATTAGTATGAATAAAAATCTTGTTAACTGCTATTTACTTATTTTTATTTATGAATGTAATAATAATAAAATTAAAAGTAAATAAGAAACAATCCCTAAGGTTCTCATTGTGAAATTCCTTTTTTTTTTTTTTTTTAAAAAAAAAGGCTATTTTAGAAATTTTCACATAAAGCCCAGCACTGGCCGAAAATCCTTATATTACAGCTTTAAACCAAATCTCTCTTCATGGATCTATTATTTTAAAAGTTACCGCAATTTAAAAACATTTTGTAATAGAAAATTAGAAACTTATCCAATGATGGGTCTTGCTTATCAACAAAGTTGGTTACAAGCCCACGTTTAAGGCCCAATGAAAGGGCAACACCATCAGGGCAGCCCATTTTTCCAATATTACATTTGCAAGATTGATACTTCAAGTTTTGATTTATTTGCTTGTTTTAAAAAGAAAAAAGATAAAGATAAAAATTAGGGTGAAATACCTTACTAATAAATACGACCAAAACATATGAGATATATGCATACATTTATAACAGTCTAGACCAAAATTAAGTAGATATTAGATGTGATATTTCATAGAACTTCGATTGAAGTGTAAAATATTAGTTAAATACTATTATGAGTCTTTAAACTGTCAAAAACGTGTTTAGGGTTGAATCCAAACTGTCAAAAACGTGTTTAGGGTTGAATCCTAGAAGCAAAATCCTAAGGACAAAAATCTAAAGCGGATAATATCTTAACGACTCTCATGAATTTCCAAATACTACAAATGCGTGGTAAGAAACAAATTAAAACTTACAAACTATAGATTAATTATACTACCACTATGTAAGTAAGAAACAAACTACAAACTATAGCTTAGCTAATAAATAGATTCTAACAACTGCAATATTAATAACAAAAAACCAATGTTTTGAAAACCCAATTGGACTGGTCGGTCAGACTGGGAATCGACAACCTCTCTAGTCTGTTTTAGGTTTCAAGTGGTTCTTGTTATATTTTAAAACTGCAGGGGTTAATGTAATTAACCAGGCAGGGACTACTTGTAATTTTTTGGGCATTTTAAAAATATATTAAATTTTTAGGGGTATTTTTCTATATAATAAAAATCAAGGGACTACTTGCAATTCTAGACAAATTTTGTATAGCGAACATCATCAGTCCAATTGGCCGGTCGGACCGGTCAAACTGTGAAACAAACCCTTGACTTGGTCAAGGCTTGGTCCGGTTTTTAGAACATTGCAAAAAACTATATCTTAGGATTCTAACGACTGCAATATTAATAACAAATAGTTTATCTAAATAGACAGGTAATACAAACTACAATAATAACAAATAATAAGAGTAGAAGTTGAGAGAATATTTTTCCACCGCTTAATTTAATGATGTAATTGAATATATATTAGAGTATTTCATTGATGTAATTGAATATATATAGAGTACAAGAGTTGAACGTATAAACTTCAATTAAAATCTAAACTGACTCCTAGAATAAAGGAAATACCTGGAGAACTAAATACAAAGTCAAATAAAATACAATAAAAAATAAGTAGCAGTGACAAAGAAGAAGTTCGTCTGTTAAAAAAAAAAGGCCGAACGACTTGTGCATACCCAAAGTTTACCATAACGACAAGTTGGTATCTAAAAGGTTTTGAAACGATAAATAGGTACCTTCCGTTATATTCTGTTAATGATTTTTGTTTATTAATAGTGAAAAGACTAAAATGTCCTTCAAAGTTTCAATTTTTGTTTTTTATAAATTTAAAAATTTCTAAAAAACCCCCTAGGTTTGCTAATGTAATTAAACACCCCCATATATAAAAAGTTTGCTAAATGACAAAAACACCCCCATCACCCCCAGTGCCAGATTCCGGCCACCATCGCCGGAATCTGGCCGGAAAACTGCATTACGACACAGATCCGTCGGATCTGTGTCGTAACGTGCCGATCTGGCCTTTTCCGGTCAGATCCGCCACGGATCTGGCCGGAAAAGGCAAGATCTGGCCGTCGAAGCAGCAGCCAGATCTGGCCTTTTCCGGCCAGATCTACTGCCAGATCTGGCCTTCGACGCCGCAGATGGAGTTTTGCGGCGTCGACGGCCAGATCTAGCCGTAGATCTGGCCTTTTCCGGCCAGATCAGCCACGGATCTGGCCGAAAAAAGGCCAGATCGCGCGTTACGACACAGATCCGACGGGTCTGTGTCATAACGCAACTTTCCGGCTAGATTCTGGCTGTGTGGCCAGAATCTGGCAGTTGCGGGTGGGGGTCGTTTGTTTTTTATAAAATTTTTATATATTGGGGTATTTAGTGAAATTTGAAACTTGGGGGTTTTTTGAAATTTTAAATTTATAAAAAACTAAAATTCAAACTTTTAAGGCATTTTAGTCTTTTCACTATTAATAAACAGTAATAAACAAAATCACTAACAGAACATGACGGAAAGTACCTATTTGCATTCTCAAATCTTTTGGATATCAACTTATCGTTACGATAAATCTTGTATGTGTAACGTTCTCCCAAAAAAAAAAAAAAAAAAAAAAAGCATGAAAGCAGGCACATGACATGCTCGCATAGGGAAAAGTAAAAAGGAAATTCAAAGACTTGTCATAAAGTGGAAATTCAAAGACTGAGAGAGAATAGTCCTTTGTGTAATTTCCTCAAAACTTCTTGAAAGTTGAGTGGTATTTGCTCTACTCTTTCCTCTCTATATATTTTTAAAAGAGCGTGAAATTAAGAAGAGAGAAAAATCGAAGAAATTTTGACAGAAGCATTTCTTTTCTTTGAAACAATTACCCAATTGAAACTGATCACTCAAAAACACTTTCTCAACAATTGCAGTGGCACCCTCATAGCACTGTAAGTTTAATTTCTCAACAATCTTTGATTTCTTAATTTTTCAACTTTTTGTAGTTTGCTTAAGAGTGAAAACTTAAATATTTATTTTAAACAAGCTAGCTGATCGTTTGTTTAGATTTACAAGATTTAAATTAGTGGCTTCTTTTTTTTTTAATTATTATTTTCTGGAAATTGAAAATACATATTTTTGATGATTTTTGAGTGTTGATGGTGAGTTACAGTGACGGGTTGGACTTAAGGTTGGCGAATTTGGATTTTTTGTGGTTAAAAATGTTGTGCAACAAGGTTTAGAGTTGTTGTCACGGAGTTTTTTCGACTTTGGAGGCTTTGAAGCGATTTCGACTCACGAGTTAGTTGTTGAGTCGCGAATTGGACTTTGTTCCTTGCTGAGGCTGTTTAAGAGAGGGCTAACATTTGCGACTGTTTCTCTGCTTCGGAGGTAGTTTCTTCTTTTGTTCTTTTTGCGACAGCATGGATAAAAATGTGATTTTTGTGTTGTTCTGTTTTGATGTTGGGTTAATGCAACGAAAATTTGTTGTTGTTTGTTTCTTTTTTCTTTTTTTATTTTTATTCTCTTCTTCGTAATTGAAAATCATATAGATGGTCTGCAAGAAGTTAATTACCTTTCCAATTAATTTTTCAGGTTCTATAGAGGACGTATTGTAAACTCATCATGCAAATAGCCTCTTCATCAACCTTCTTCTTGTCCTTGGAAATATGATGTCTTTCTAAGCGTTAGAGGTGAAGACACAAGGAAGAGCTTCATAGATCATTTGTACACTGCTTTCAAACAGAAAGGACTGCATGTTTTTAGGGATGACAAAGAACTTGAGAGAGGAAAACCGATTTCACCAGAGCTCCTTCATGCAATTGAGAATCAAGATCTGCGGTTGTTGTTCTCTCGAGAAACTATGCATCTTCCACATGGTGTTTAGATGAACTTGTTCAATTGTTCATTGCAAGAAAAAATTTTTTTCCAGTTTTCTATAACGTGATCCTTCCATGGTTAGAAAACAAACAGGAGAATATGGAGAAGCCTTTGTCAAACATAAAGAAACTTTTAGAGAGGATATTGGAAAGGTGCAAACTTGGAGAGATGCTTTGAAAAAGTGGCCGATCACTCTGGATTTGACTTGAAGGATGGTATGTGACAATTATTTCTTCTTCTTTTAGTGGAAAGCTAGTTATCAAAACGAATATGAAAATGATATTTATGACTTGTTGTTTAAATGCGTCAGTCATTAGTGTTGATACTTCAAATTAAGCATGAATTTCTTATTCAAACCAAGTTTTACCTTTATCAGAATTTAAAGGTATTCATAGTTTCTACAATGAAATATTAATTAACAAATTCTTAATTTGTAGAGACAGTATTTAATACTAAATTACTAATGTAAAAGATAATTAATAAATCAGCTTTTTCATATTTCACCGAGTAATGATAGAAAATGACGGAGGCAGTAATTAGTAACTTGGTTTTTCTTAGACAAGCATGAATACTTT